CTCCTGTGCGAATTCCACACCGGAAGTCGTCGCATCCAACGGAAAACAAACTCCCCGACAACGCTGGCCGAGGGAATGGCTTGGCGAGCTTCACGTCGCCGCACCGGGAAGCGATTCCTCCGCTTAGTTCACTTGAGGCTTTCCGTGTCCAGACGGGGACATCTCCTGGCCACTCCCGGGAAGAGGTTGGTGGATTTTAGGAGTTGGCTGTCGATAGATTTTTCGCATTAGATGAGAGACTGGGATCTATGAATGGCGTCGGGAGTAGCAGATATATAGGCGTGACTTTTGCGGGATTTACGGTATCTTTGCAATCGGGCATGCCCAATTTCATCTTTAACGCCCTCTATTATCGCGATTTAACTCGGTTGTCTTGGATAGCTCATGAGGACGCGACTCCTGAGGGTTTCGAAGTCGGAAGTTGGGGTACCCGTCTATGAAGCTAGTTACGGCACTCGGAGTATCATGATTAGAGCCCGTGATTTCAAGCTTTTATGACTTTTACATCAATTAATATTTATTGATCACTATTTTTTTCCCTTTTCTTTCTTCTCGTTGAAAAAGAATGAGGAGGAATGGAAGATGAAATGTTCATCAATTATTAATAAGTGGGTAGTGAAAAAGTGATAAATGCTCGAAACCACTGGCTCAAATCATGACATGGCGAGGGCGGCGTTCAAAACATTGTCGAGACGTCGGCTGGTCGCCCATCATCAGCTCCTCGCCCACCCGCTCGGCGACCTGTACTGACGACTTGTATCGATGTTTCGCGTCGACGACTTCCCCGAATCACGATCTAGAATATGCTTTGGTTCGAATCCGGGAGCCGGCTGTCCAGACATGAATTCGATGGCTGCTTCGTGGATGACATCCTCAAAAAAAATCTGAGAACCTAAGGGCACAACCCCCACGGGGGACCGGAATCGGCTTAGAGAGAAGTTGGTTGAATCGTGAGATTCTGGCATTAAAATCTGGAATTCCTCGCTTCAGGTAGGGCATTCGGATTTGACTCCGACCAAGCCGCTCGCGAACGAGACCGAGAGCTCGGGGGTCTTCCTTGGTACGTTTGCGAGCGGCGGCGAAGATGATCGTCCACTCGCGCCGCGTATTGATCCCCATGTGTTTGCGGTGACCGGATCGTCATCTGTGCCCTCCGGCGTGGACCCCCGCGCGGGGAGCACGACTTTGGGAGAACACCCATCGTCTAATGTTTCACTGGGGACCGAATCCGTATCTCCAAACGGAGCCCCAGTGAGGAAGCAACCGTGTCCCCTCGATGCACTCAGAACTCAGGAACCGGATGCATCCGCGGCTCCTCTCCCCGATCAGCAAGGTACGTACCTTTGATGTTGTCTTCCCATTTCGATTTAGAGCCTCCATGATTCCGATGCGATTCCTATTGGGCTCCCCCCTATCCGATCCGAGCATCCAAGCTGACCTATCTGCCCTCGCGCTTCGGTTCCCTTCCTCGGAAGACGGAGCTCCATGTAACGATAATCGAGATCGAGCTTATCCCCTTTTCCTTCGAGGAGATTCGATGCATGCTCCGAGCTCTCTGAAGCTCCCCTCGTACCCGTGCAAGGCTGCCGTAGAAACAATTCTAATTTAGGGAATGTCTGTGATTTTGTGCAGCCGCTATCGTGTCCGCGCCGAGACCTGCATCATCGACCCAAGAGCAGCCGCGGAGGGGAGATGATGCTGCTCCTCCCTCTCCGAGCGTGGGGATCAACCTCAATCCTCCCCGAGGAGGATCAAGGTCGACGCATCTGTCCTCAGCCGCGCAGATCCCCCCCGCACAGACTCTGCTTGGAAAACCCCCAATGCTGTTACCAAAGACATTCCCCCTTGTTCGGCCGAATACTCCCGTCCGAAGTTATTCGCGATCGATGCCGTTCGGTGCTGACGACGTCCGACCTGATCAGAGATTTCCTCACAGAAATTTTTGGAAGGAATCTCTCTCCCCTAAACAATCCCAAAGCCCCGAGACGCATGCCATGAGGCCGGGAATGAACGTCCCTCGTGAGTTCACGAGTCCAACCAAGTATTCGAGAGATTTTCGGAACTTGGGTTTGGGCTTCGATCCGCGAGACGTGAAGAATTTACATAACTTGAGCGGTGAGTTGCGACAGACTTGTTGGCTGAGTAATTTTCGATTCGCCGGCCGATCTTGGACGAGGATTCGCTTGCCTCCCGTGCTGCCTCAGTCGCATGTTTCGCGGCTCCGAGCCTCTTACCATCAATTCTGTTTCCCCCATTCAACCCATCTTGTTTCAAACTATATAGCGCAATCGCCTCTGCTCCTCCTCTTGCCAGAACTGATTTCTCTCGACATGGGACTTTGATTCAAACAGTAATTTGCATGAGCAGGTAGGGTCTCGAACCAGACGAAGCCGAGATTATTCAACTCCTCTCTGAGAACATCAAGGGAAGTACCGGATCCTCCGTCAGCTGCGATCGCGAGTATGACGGCGCGCAAATCCGGTGACTCGGATGTGAATCTGCAGGATACGGGACCCTCCCAAGGCGATCAGGTCAGTCCTTTTTTTAAGAATTTCCCTTCGCTTGAACGGAGCGTCCTCTAAAACTCGATCTTCACCGTGCAGGTGTCTGGAAATATCTCCGTTCCTCACCTTAAGAAGCGACCGGAGAAATCCGCGACTGTAAGGGATATCCTCGAGCGCGCGAAGAATTCAACCGCAAGCTCGCCAGTTCCAACGAGTCTGAAGAGCAGAACTGACGAGACGCCGACTTCGGAGAGTGCTGCGATGCCGGCGACGAGTCCACCCCCAAAAGTGGAAGCTGTTTCGGAGTGGCGAGCCACTCCGCCTAATTTATTACGACACATTGTTATCACTGATGTTAAAGTCAACGCAGTTTCAGTCACGTTTATCGAATGCAAGACTCCAGTTGGTTTTTTCAGGAGTCGGACGTGAGGCCTACGTGGGTCGGTTGAATTTTTTGTACAGATTCTATGTGAATAATAATTAACTCGTGCTGATGTTGTCGACGAAGCGCGTCGCCTCTGATTGGGATGCAAGCTGGGTGAGATTCCGACTTTGACTCCTCGTTCGATGGGAATGGCCGTCTACCATCGCTTTCTCGCGAGTCCAGGGCGGCTCATCTTCGGAAAGCGAGTCGTCCGGGGAGATTTCCCAATCGTTGTAGACGACCGGGGAACTGTATATTCACAAGGGGATCCGTAACCGAAGGTGGAAGCTCCTCCCAGACGTCCGTGCGGCGCCCGTCGATCGGTCCCATGATTCGAGTCCCCACGGGTTCTCGTCCTTCAGAGAATGCTCCCCGATCCGGGTGTACCCCGAATTCGTGGGGAGCCGGATGACGATGACTCTTCCCTCACGTGACGAGCTTCATCCGTAAATTTCGGAATTTTCATGCGCTTTGCGCTGATTTTTCGCGAGAAAATCTCTGCGATATTGCAGACTCTCACATGAAGAGCCGCAAGTTGTCGGGATGTCGCTGAAAATTTGAAGAACCCGTCTGGTCTCGACCCCCATTGACATTCGTTGCTTGGGATGCACCTGGATTCCAAAGAGGCTCGTCGTCGGGGTCCTCGTAGTTATGCAAGTTGGACGACGAGGGATTAGGAGATGCCTAGATGTTGAACAACCCCTAAGTTTTCCTAGTCAAGACACTTAGTGAAGTTCCGCAGCTGAGTTGTTGCAAAGGTTTGATGTAAAGTACACAGAAGGCCATTTACGCATAGTGCGGGAGCTCCCTGTGATTACCTTTATGGGGCATCCCTCCGTCCACCTCGATTTCCAAGTCACACACCCCGGATCGCGAAGCGGTGCTTCTCTCGTTTGGGGACTCTCCATCCTTGATATGGACGCTGATTCCGATTCTGAATCACATCGAGCGAGATCCTTGGGGTGCCTGCATCGAGCACTCGAGGCCCCTATTGAGCTCAAATGACTCGTAGTACAGGTACTACGGCCGGCAGAGCGAACACTAGCATCCTTAGAGAGAGAATTCGGAAAGATCACGGGTCCCGAGCAGCTTCCCAGGATCGGAGAATGGGACTGTGCATGGAGGGGAGGCGTCGATAATTCCAGCTATCTCCTCTGCTCGAGGGCTCCCACCGAACCAGGGGACTGCATTTCGGCTGCTCATCGCCTCTCAGGGGATCCGTAATTTCAGATGATCTTCCCGTCCTAGAATCAGATATATACACGGAGCTTCCAATAAATATATCCTGTTAGTTGAACCGGAGCGTGATTCTTCATTATTATTCGAGAGACGATTCGATCGACGATTCCACAAAAAATTCTGTATTCGTACAAGGAATCCTCAAGGGCGATACCTCGACTGCTGATAGCCACGTCTCTTATCATAGACAACAGTACAATAGAACTTCTGGACATCCATCATTCTGACTTAGATAATTTGGGATTCTTTCGGATCATGAGACGTGAGACCCGGAAGTACTGACGAAAGAGCTCCCTTCCGATACTCCCGGGGATTCCGTTCGAGTAAACGATCCCTATTTCGAGTCTAGTGATCAATTGAGCTGAACTATATGGGGGGTTCTGGATGGGAGCCAGAGGTCAACATCAAGGACATGAAGGATCGTCCTCTCCGACGCAGTCGCACGAGTGAAACTCTCGCAATCCCTGCATGGACTACCTAAGTTACAACTCATATACAGTCGGGAGCTCCCCGAATTTCATTGGAGGAACCAGATGGGCAGAGCTTGCGCAGAATGCTCGTTCTTGAGACGAGACGGTCCTCGAGGCATGAGAGTTCCACCCGGCGCCGACCCGTTCGGGTTCTTGTGACCAGCACGAGGCATAGAAATTGACGCTGTATCGACGAGCTCGAGATTCGGTACAGTTGGTGCGTGAGGAACCGAGGAACAATAACCAAACATCGGCACTGGAGATTTTCCGGGTGAGATGAAAGCATGCCTCGGAATGCCGCATCAGCTAGCGGGAGCCGCGTGAATCCCAGGTCATGGCTTGAGGTTTCTCAGTGAAGAGCCTCTACGGGGACGAAAATAGTTTCTCTTGGCACTGCTTCAGAGTTAGTAGCTGCTGCTGTAATACCGAATAGATTCTCTCCTGCTCCTGAGGTTGTTGACGGTGCTGCTGCCGTTGCAGTAATAACAGGTGCTCTTGCATGATGGCGATTATTTGCTGTTGATGTTTTTCGAGGAGCAGGAGTTCCGATGTCTTGTCGACGATCGAGAAAAGTCTCTCCTGGTACTGTCGTAAGATCAAGAGCTGCTGCTTGACCACGGAAAGCACCCGGTCCCTCTCGTGAGCTTGCTGCGGCTGCCGTCCAAGAACGGAACGTTGCCGTTGTAACAGGAGTAACTGCTCATGCAATAGTGGAACGAACTCATTCTGCTGCTGCTGAACGTGACCGTGCTCTTGCAATAACAACAGTTGTTTCTGTATTTGTCTCTCCTGGCCCTCTTGCTCCATCATCCCAAACAATCTGAGCTGGTACTGCTCCAATATGAAAAGTTGGTCCCGGATCACCGAATAATCTCGTTCGAAATCACTCCCGTCGCGGGCACTCGACGTCGATTGCTGTGAATTCAGCTGCTGTTGCAACGTCTGTTGGTATTCCATTTCGTACGAAAGCCGTTTTTGGAGCTGATCAACTACTGAGAAATGGTGCTCCACGAGCGCTATGGTGCGTTCTTCTTTACGTCCCCGTTGCTGTGCGTAATCCATGTAGAGGATGAATCTCTTGCGATATTGCTCCAGCTGGAGTTGCTGTTGTTGGATCAGGGCTCGAAACCGGTCGAGGTCTTGCCGCTGAGCTTGCTGCAAGAACAACAGCTGCTCCTGCATGACCGGAATGAACAATTGTTGTTGTTGTTGCATGAGAACGAGGTGCTCTCTCACGAGCTCATCTTCGTCGGGGAAAGGCCATCTGATTTCGTGCTCCATGTCTTTGATGAGAACCTGGAATGGTCGAGAGACCCTGATCGATTTTTCTCATTCTTGCTCGAATCAATAAAGTCTCGCCGGCAAAGGGAGGACGGACAGATGATCGCTCCGAAACTCATCAGCTGTGACGTATGTCTTCGATGGGAGCGACGCTCCCTCACTTCAGAAAGAATCGTCAAGGAATGAGCCTATCACCTACGTCCAGCAACTCCGGCCGAATAGAATTCCGGCGACAGGCGACCCAGCTCCGACTTGTCGGCGCTTTGTTTACAAAGGGACTCCCATTCAGACTTAATATTGAGAGAGACTCGTGAGATACGTCACTCCTGTCTTTGACACAACCAATACTCTCCGGGAAGGCGCGGAAGAGTCTTTAAACTCTTTGCGGCGACCTCATCGAGCGTTCTCAATTCCTCCGAGAAGGAGAAAGATCCCTTGCTCAAATTCGTACGGAAAAGTGCCGTACTGTTCGGCTTACCATCAGATCTACACTCTCGAGGTTCTCCATCCTGAGGTCGTCGAAGCTCATGTTCGGTAGCAGACGGTTTTTTTTCCACAACGTTCAACGATACGACAATTAAAGTGTCATGTGCCAAGAGAAAATACTCCTAGTTCTCAGCGACGATCCTGAGCCAAGCCGACTATCCTAAACAATCATGGCGTCACAGCGTCCTCCTCTCTCACAATCAGAGCATCTGTTTCCACGGTCTGCAACAGCTGTATGCTGAGTGGGCGCAAGAGGTTTCCCATGGGTTTCTCGCGTCAGGCCCGTTCCCGTGTGTTGGCGTAGAGTCCTAGGACTCGACGGCCGATTCAAAGCATATGAACCTAAGATGATCGGTGCTCGCTTCGGCGCGGAATCCGGAGCCGCCGGGAGGTATAGGTGGAACCTATTTTGAGAGAGGGCTACCCACAGTCCACGATTGCGTCTTCGAATCGAGCGGACCGGAGTCGCTGTCAAAGAGGAATTAGTTAGGCCCGCGGGCATGCGATTCGTGTAGACGAGGGGTCGAAGAAAAGTGCCTGGTCGGATTTCCAATGTAGATGGGATCAGTCTTCTCGCGCCCATGTGGCATACAATGGCCACACCGATCATGCTTCCGAAGCACCCGAATCAGCAATGAAAGGCGAAGAGTCGCCGAACCATAGAATTCATTGAGATCTCGGATAGGCCATACGCCTTTCCTCCTTGATCGGGAGAGGTGCTTCATCCGGGGCATGAATTCATTACGAGACTCCTTCGAAGACCGACTCCTCGGTGACATTTCCAGGGCGACGGGGACGACGAACTCTGTTCTCGTTCAGACCAATGACTTCCACCGAGCTTTAGGGTCGGGGGAGGGAATCATCCCCCGTATGAAATTCGCTTTATTCCTGCTTTGTGCGTTTTAGGTACTGCTTCACGTCACCCTCCGTACTCTCCTGATTTATCCTGCTGGTTAGATTGCCAAACCACCCACCAAGGTCTCGAAAGATCGACGAGCTGGGATGTAGCGCGAAATCACCAGAGTTGGTCTTACAATGGACAGTCGGTCCACGGCACCCGTGCTCATTCGGGAACTCCTCAAGCTGAGGAAACGAAGTCCTTGGCATGAGACCTCGAGGGCGCGGACCGTTGCATCTGAGAGTAGATTACAACTCCTCAATATGAGCTTTCGGAGGAAGGGTTCTTGAAGGAGGAAATCGCCGACGGCAGCATCTGTCAACCTCTCGCAACCCACCAGACAGAATTCGATCAAACGTGCATGATACATGGCTATACCAACAAGCCCGTCATCAGTGAGCGGTGACTCAACTATGACGAGTTTCTCGAGACTTGGCGATCCGAGCCCTAATTCGAATGTTCGATCTGTGATCTGAGCAGCGCCAACGATCGACAGTTTCCGCAGATTCTTCAGAAGGCGGAATTTAATTCCATCGGTATCCGTGAGATTCGTACAATGAAGCCTGAAATCTCGTAAATTCTTCAAGTTCTCGACGAGGCAACCGAAGCATTCAGGGGAGGGACCCTTGCCTAGCAACGTCAGGCATCGAAGTTCCGTCAAGCGAGCTATCTTCCGGTAGTCTTCGATTGTGTCATCGGCCATGTTCAGCTCCAATTCCTGCAGAGCAGAAGTCCTTTGCAAGACGTCAAGCCATCCAAAACTCATGCGATCGCCCAGACACAGTTTCCTCAGCTTCTTGGGTCGATCGATGTACCTCAAGTAACCTGTTCTGGGGAAATCCCCGAAATACACATTCAGAATTTCCAGATCGTGGCACTCGAGCAAGATTTTCTCTAGATGACGGTCTTCGACAACTTCTTCTCTGATTCTTTCGAGGGACAATTGGCGCAACCGCTTGCACTTGCTGATGGCATCGAGCGTCTTTTGCGTGATTTGGGAGCCACAGGGTATTCGCAGATCTTCGAGGGTCTCTGAATATTTCGCGAGGATCTGAACCATGCTTGCGTCGTTTATATCTACTTGTCTGATTCCAAATCTCGTCAGTTTTCGCTTGGTGCCCAACAAACTGTTAATATCGAACGCCAGTTCATCGGGCACCGTGGGAAAACTGGAAAGGAAAAATGATGTCAAGTTGGGAATCAGTCCCAAAAATTGTGCGAGCGCTTCTCTGGTGCATTCTATCCGCAAATGCAGATGCCTGAGACAGAGAATCGGCTCTCTGAAAGTCTCATCCGGAGGTAGGAGCGCGGGTTCGGATTCACTCCACCATTCACCTGGAAGGAATTCGTATGAGACGAGATTCCGCTAACACACTCAGACCCGGAGGGTCCTATCCGACTGAAGGACGAAATGAAAATTCATTCTAGGGGGCAGTGCAAACGAAGGAGGTTCCCGAAAGACCATCTTTCATTAGGAATTTAGCTTCCTGCGCAGAAGCCGTGAGCGCATCGATTCCTGATGCTTCTTTCTAGTGGAAAAACCCTTGCACTAACCTTCGAACTCGAGAGACTCTAGCTTTCTGCATTGCCGGAGTATGTTGTAGAAAACCTCGGATGACCATCGGCACGAGGTGATTCTCAGTTCGCGGATATCCTCGCCAACTTTCGACCAGAAAACGTCGTTGAATAAGCTCAATCGAGCTGTGGGGAAGTGGAATTAGAGTCTTTGATCTCGGAACAGAATTCAGAGTCTCCTCGTTGAATCATACTGGGCGAAATATCCTCACCGTCTTGAATGTGGAGTCTCCAATACCGGCGTCGACTCCTTAACATGTCTGAAGCTGCTGCTGCATCGGAGCCTCGAATTGTGAACCAGAAATCCTTGAGCAGGGTCGGTGTGGTCAAGAGGTCCGCCAAATGGCTACATGCCGAGGCACAGGCTAGTCGGTCGATGGGATTCAATTTCAGCAGTATTGATTCCTGCAGCATCTTGAATGAGAGAGACATCGAATGACATCAGAGACCGTGCCGAAAAGAGTCCCACGCCCCTGGCGGAATCCTGGTGGGACGTGCTGCTTTCAATATTCCTACCTACTCTGAGTTCAGTGAGAGCTTCTGAACTCCGTAGGAATGAACCCCGCGAGGGATCGAGGCGAGGGCGATGCAGGCCTGACATTGATGGTGGAAATCCAGTTTTCCCACCAAACCCGGGGCCGATCAACTCCTTTTGGCGACTCTCATCACGACGCCGACGTTGCGTCGATTTCACGACACCCTCAGCGGATATCGCCGAGAAGCTCCGAAGAGCATCAGGAACAACAAAATTAATCCCCATCCTCTCCCGCCGCCATTGTGGACGAGCGGCGCGCAGAAGGACCGCAGGCGCGTATTCAGGGGGGGGGAGGTTAGGGGGCCGATGCCCTTCCCAGAAATGTTTGCTTCGTACTACCTCTGTCGCCTTCTGGAACCCATTCCTGAGGGGGGCCGCAGTCATCGTGTGCCCCCCCCTAGAAAAAAATCCTGGATACGGTCTTTGAAGGACCGTCGCTCGATTTCAGCCGAATATCTCCAGCGAGATCAGCGGCACCTCACCTACACCGCTAGAACACCGATTGGAGATCTCTCATAACAGTCTTCCAAAATGTTTCATGGTTCGAATTGTACTAACCTCGGGTAGAAGCTTGAGCATCATTGACTCGATGTTGAACAGGGCTCGAGGCCTCCGGAGAAAAGGATCGAATCTCTTCCACACAAATTGTTTCAGAGCAGGAAACTGGTGGATGAGGAAGGATCCACTCTTGAGTCAGGGCACGATACAAGATTCGCAAGTCGAGCTCGTCCTGTGGTTGCAGCGGCTTTGAATCTTATGGTGCTCAACGACTGCATCAGCTGACACATTCCCGCACGTCTGCCTCAGAGACTGGGATGAAAACATCGGCGTAGTGAAGTTGGAATCTGCGACACGTTTCTCCAAACGTGATCGGACGATCGATCCTCAGCAGAGGCGACACAGCCCATTCATCTCCTGAGTTAGGATCGAGAGAAATCGCTGGTCCAAGCTTGAACCTCATCCAGCACCGGGAACTCCCTCTCCCCTCGCGAATAGTTTCCTGGAGCATGGGCTCTACTATTAGAAGATTCCTGAATTCTCACCCCTCGAACGCAGTTCATCTTTCACAGAGAGAGCGCCAGACTGATTGGGGAGCCTCCGAAACCAAGGGTGCCGATGAGCGCTCTCGCCCCCAAATCAATCGCGGAAGAGTCCATGCATATCCTAGGTGAGAGGCTCCCGAATCCCTTCTACGTCCGCGGAGACCCCTTTGAACTCTTACACATGCCAAGGCCCTTGCGCTCCATTCCCCCAAAGAGTTCCCCATGGCGGGATGCAACTGATACTTGTCCAGATCTTCATTATTTCTAGATGCAGTTCTGCTCCCCTAGGTGCTGATTATCTGTTCTATCAATTCAGGTAGGCATGAGTCGTGGATGTTACAGGGGCGACTGCACTCTCATAATCGGATCCAGAGAGCGACTTTACCCGTACGGTTTAGAGCAGCGATTCTCAAACTTTCTTCTCCTACGTCTCCCTTCTGCCTCTTGGGGAGCGCTCGCGTGTCCCCCGAGGGTCATCGAATATCTGAGAATAAAGAGTTTCGACCGGGACATGCCTTTTTATCCGTACACACGGCTTCATCCTTTAATTGTACAATGATTATAAGCTTGGAGTACAGTGGCAATGAGCTTGGTGAGCTTTCAGAAACGTGAAATCAAGTCGGTCGGGAATTCTCGGGACCCTAAGCGTCTCCCGCAGGAGACGCGTCCCCCTAGTTTGAGAAACGCTGGTTTAGAGCAAGAGCCTGCGTATTTCACAAAATCCGGGTTCAAATCCCGCAAAATGCCGCACGGGATGGATCGTTCCCGTTTTCTTGCAACATATCCTTCTGATGGTTGTATTCGGTCGGCAGGGTGGCAATGCTAGAAGTGAACTAGTTCCGGCATGCAGATTCAGGACACTCCGGATTTCAGCCTCGCGGGCTAACACAAGGGGAATTACTCTCTTTATTGTAAGACGGCGCCCTCCAGGGGCCGGTTCGGTGGTTTCGTTATTACAATGTATGGCGCGAATGTTTGAGTATCCTCCAACACCTTCTCACTACGCTAACATCATCCCTCTTCACGGGAACATAAGAACCTTAGACTTGATCGAGACTCCTCGAGGTCGGGATCTGACCACCCCTAGATCCAGGCACAGGGGTTCACTTTGCTATCTCTCGGATTCCCGAGCTGCTTCCACCACCTGGAGTTTTCGCTGAGCGCTACGTGGGTTTTGGAGGTTGTGGGCTGGCGAGAGGTAAACTAGAGAGCTCTAGGGAACCGATTGCTAAACGCGCCCGGAAGTGATCCTCGCTGCGCTGTAGACGTTGGCATAGGATTTTCTTTGACGTCCCAAATATTACTGATCGCTAGAACGGAGTCAAAAGGATGTTCTTTGGAGTCGGTAGGTACTTGATTTGCCTGAACTCCGCGGAGAATAGTAACTAACCGTCATCGAAAGAGCTTCCTTTGAACGAATCTTTGTCCAGCCATCTCGGTTCCTTCAATTTTCTCTTTCCTTCCGAATGCCGGGCTCGCTCCGGGAGGAATACACCATGCTCGATTCTCGCAGTCTGCAGACAGTGTCCGCGACTGAAGAGTTTCGACTGCATGTGGTGAAACGTAGGAGCATCTCGTGAACGGAAAATGATTCTCTCGATTCATAACCATCGACACCGTTTTGTGCCGGATATCAACAGTTCTGCGGGGGAGCAGCGTCGCAATGATTCCGAATTCCGAGACCGGAACCTTCACTGAGCCCGATGTGATGATTGGCGAAATCTTCAGATTTTTCCGTTTGTACAATCTCAGTCGGGCTGGAGTCCATTCACTAATCTGTGGTCCGGTTCCGAGCCTTCATCGACTAGAGATTAAGAACCTGCGCGAGCGAGTCCTGAGGGGCGAAGCCATCGCTTCTGAAAACAGATGCGACGATGCTGCCATAGGAACATTCGAGCTTCATCCATTATCTAGGGGTGACGACGATGTCGATCGTTGTTGAAGAGTGTTCCCGATCTGCCTGCGGGACTTCGATCAAGGGAAGTACCGGTGGGGAAGAAGAGTACTCGGAGACCCAAAGTGCGGAATCCCCGGCGGAAGGACAAATACCCTCATGGGACGATGACGGGATTTCGACTTCGTCGGAGGATGAGACCGAGAGCCCGAAACATGTGATAGGTACCCCGAATTTCCATTGAACCTTTCATCCGAGTCGAAGTTGTCGCCCCAGAGCGACGGAATCATTGATTGCGTACTCCCCTAAGTTAATCATTTTATTTGACCGAAGCTTCGCGGAGCCATGCGAATACTGTTGCTGAACGAACGGAAGAGCTTGAGAAAGATTTCTTCAAAACCGGGGCGGACCTGCTATCTGCGGACACGGTCCAAGAGATGGCTGAGAAAGGCCGCGATTTCCGGGTGGCTCACCAGAGGCTGATGCACTGCAAATTGAGTCGCGAAGCCCACGAGCGAGCCCTGAAATATGTCGGGAAGGTGAAAATCCAGAAAAAAGCACGACTAGTAGAATTGCTCGCCGGTGAGATCCTCACTGAACTCAAGGGTGTCGAAGAAAGGAATGATGAGTATTTGGCCCTGCTCCAAACAGACGGTAAGCACCATCGGATGTCATCCAGAGACCCACCGCTACAACACTTCGGATCAGAAACTCTGTCCGATCCTTAAACCGTTCGTAGAATTCCGCATAAACTGGCTCAGGGAAAACGAATTCCACCGCAGAGGAACTGGAGGGAATGGAAAACGAAATCTTCGAAGTCGGCCGGAGGATGTGTTCTACGACGAACTTCGATGTATTTCTCCACCTGAGGTCGAAGTTCATGACTTGTGCCGAGAAAATGTTGGAATACTTGGGGGAACGAAGCTGTGCGAAGAACACAGTCAAACGCTTCGTCGTGCGCTGTCAGCTATTGGCCCAGGTTCAGCATGCGAGATTCCTCGCCCGGAAAATAGTCTCTCTGAAACAAGCCGGCGATAATTGAAAATAAATGCAGGAAGTTCCTGACACCGATCGCTTAGAAGCGCTCAACCTTGCCTTCATTCATGACGACCGTGACCGAATCCCGAAAAATGCACGAATCGGCGACGCTCAATCCTACGGCCCCGCTTTTCATTCGAGCGCAAGAGGAATAGGAATAAGGGACGGCTCATTAGCAGCGGGAGAAGAGTTCTGTCTGTGCATGTCCAGCTGGTGGGCTGATGGTCACGGACCGTGTCCCCGAGGGCCCATTGGTTGAGTACGGAAAGCCCACAGATGTTAATATCATTGAGATGGCCAGCAGGATTCGTTCGTTGAGGTCAGCCGTGAACGAATCTGAGTTCTCACCGCCGAGGAACGCCCTGCCATAAGATCGCAGGTCACGTCGACCTCAAGTTTGGTAAAGTTGCCTAGCGACCGAGCCGTAGTCTAGCACACGATCGGAAGTCACAGTGTCCTTGAAGAGAAGATGTCGGCAAGAACCGGTGCTTAGTCTTCCTCCGCCCATCAGGCTTCTGATCTCGCTCCGCTTAGGTACATCGTCTCCGGCGACCCTTCGTTTGAATTTCTCGAAGGACAGGGGTCAAGTCGCTCATATTCGGGTGTTCACGTGAATCCCGAGTTCCGATCGAAAACTTTGGAATCTCGTTCCGACTCGACAGAATTCAGATCGCACGGTTGCACGGACACCGTTAGACACGGTGGAGAATTATTCATCTCCGGACCGAAACACTCGGAGTCGAACTGCGACGAGGTTTCCTTCGTAGTAGTCCCATGCTGCGGCGCAGCCACTCCGCCGAATGTTGCAAGAGTCAGATGAGACGAGCTTGCGGTATATTAAACGTCGCGCCGTCGTCCGGAGAGGGATCAGAACTCCGGGCCGCGCTGTCTGTCACACGCTACTTAATCAAGTTGTGATCCTTTGATCCTGATTTTTTATTAGCCTTCGTTTTCTCTTCGGGTACATACTACGCCACCGTAGACCAACAACCGGAGTAGGCTTACGCTCCGACGGGACTAGCTTATCCAAATCCTCTTTGCTCATCACGGACACCCAGTGACTCGCTCCAGCGGCAGCTACTGCGACCGTTGTCGTCGTCGACATCACCATCATCATCATGCTGGCACAACCTCTTTCAATGGCTTGCACGGGTTCTTTATCTTCCTGACTCTCTCCGCTGGGCTGGCTCCGTCAGTCGGCTTCCTAAGCAAACCATCGAACTATTGTACTCGCCCGCAATCCATCAACGTGTCTTGTCCCATCATCTCCGAAACCGGTTTCAATGATCGCTCATCTCCGGCCGAAAGAACGACGCACAGAGCCAGCGCCGGACAGGCGGCTGGCCGTCTTCCCGGCCATTGAAAAAGAAAACTATGGCGTTACCACTCTTCCCCTTCTACCCGAACTCGATCGTACCCCGACGACTTCCCACTTCGAGCGAGCGAGCGATCCTCCGGCATATCGACTCCCCCGTCCTGCCCCTCGGCCCGCTTGTCAAAACAATCGCACCCTCTGTGAGATTCCCACCAAAAAGTGACCACTTGAATGAGGAGAGCTTAGCACATCTAGTCGTGTGTTTTTTACGTTGCTTGACGCTTTTGTTCCGGGCGGCTAGCGCCACCGCGGATCTGGCTGGCTGACGGGCGAGCGCGCGGGTGGCCAGGTAGGCAGATAGGTAGCGGTCGTATGTGCGGGCGGAAGCGTATCATCATGAATAATTCGGCTTGTAATCCTCCTCATTGCACCTCTGACAACCTGCCAGAGGCAAAAACAATACTCGACCCCGTCAACGCCGAGATGAGTCG